CAGTAGAGGTAATGGCGGGTATAAGTTTTTGCGGGATTAGTTTTGCCGCGTAGCACTAGCGTCGTGTATAAGTATTGGCTGTAGGAGCAATGTCGTGGTACTCCTGTCGGTAGGAATTTTTGTTGCGGTACTAAGGTCGTGGAACCTGTTTGTATGAGAGGCGTGGTGAAAACAGCTAGCACCAAATTACATCTTGACGTTATGAGAATCCGTATACTCCCCTATAAATCCCATTTTAGTCACCAATCGGCATTGCTCCTAATCACAGTACACCCACAAAAACACATCCTAAAAATTATTTCGCATTGGTTGTGAGAGTTTTAGAATGTCAGGCGATAAACAATGTTGGATGCTGACGAAATGTCTTGAGTTTGGGTTCTTTCTTAGAACATCAGGAGTCGAATTAAACTGCACAGCTGGGGTCAAAAGATCAGATGAAATGTGAGGCATATGGCATGTAGATAGGAATATCTACGCTTTCGTTCGCAAACGACCACTTCAGTTTAAACGCGTGCATAAACGGATTACTTAGCCATGAGGTGCGCACGGTTTGATACAAAGTGAAAGGTGCGTTGTGAGTTCTGGTATATCTTCACATTTCGAATGCATCGATGCCTGGAAAAGATTGTTTCCACACAGTTCATTTTATGCATTGCACTTGATGACAATACGGCAATTAAAAGGACCACGCAGGAAGCGCACAAAAACAACTGCATGTATAGAAAAAACACTATTCGCTATAACCACAGAGGCGTTGTCCATGAAACAGCCAAAGAGAACTCGCGGCACAAAGATCTTGTTCTGACATTCTATGGAAACACCAGTAACAATCAGTTTAGCCATGGCACAGTTCAGCAGCACAGCACGAGTACCGGTCAAGATGTCTGCACAGACAGAATGCACTCAGCTCAATGGACGGAACAGGTCATAAAGAAGGCATGGGTGTCTTTGAAACTAGCTTCAAGTGCTGAGTTTTGAAGCTATTAACTGATATCTCAAGACAGTGATGTGTCAAATCGTCCGAACGTCGCCGCTTCCGCCAACGAACAGAACATTCCAATCCGATTCAGGGCAGCAACCAAGTGGACCATCACGAAGGTCGCTAGAGTGCAGGTGTGGGGAGGAGGTAGAGGGACATTGACCGCCTGGAAACCTTGTCCCCCCCCCCCCGCCAGGCGCGAGCTATGGTTTCTGTGCTAAAGCTTCAGCCTCCCAAGCCATCAGTCTGCCATCCATCCACTCCTGAGCATCAGCTTGCGCTCTCTGGTGTCACAAACTGGCCACCTCCGCCCGAACTGGACGCCCGTCGCTAGCGCTCTAGTGGGTCGGACCAGTCCTAATCCTATGGCCACTCGTCACAGCGCTCGACACGTTACACTATGCCACCAACCGGAGCGTGTGCCGCTTGCCCAGCATGCTCTCGTCACACACACCTGAAGTCCCTGGCAGCTTGGACGTCTTTTCTTGACCTGGGCAGAGGCGCTGCAAGGTTCACCATAGACCTCACCCAGTCCTGGTGAGACTGGCGGGTGACGGGGTCACTGACAGCACGGTTCGACTGAAAGCAATGTCACTGGTCAGCAAAATACGACAGCGGCGAGACAAAGATGTACGTAATTTGGCAGGTTGCGATATTATCGGCTGCACAATGGCGACAAATATCACGGGTTACGGCAAGAATATGTGAAACATAGGTGACAAGAATGTGTTTTAACGCACGACTTTGCAACCCATAAACTTCCCAAAATCAGGATGACTGGGCACCAGCCCGACTAATAATCAGCATGCAAATTGCACTGCTTGATGCAACGACTAGTGGAAGAGGAGCGCTATGTCGCTCAGCCGCTCTCACATCACATCTCACCGCTCCCGGGGGCACTCCACAATCTCACCACGCTCTGCTGCTCACCGAGGCAGACGGCCTGAGTATGGACCTCGTATTGGGCGGGTGAGTGGGCCGGGCCGGCTCGGAGGCAGCCGACCCGGCCGAGGCGCGGCGGCCGGCCGACTCGCGAGACCCCGAGCGGCACGGCGAGCCGCAGCGGACGCAGCTCATGTGGCATGAGCCGCCGCTCGAGCCCGACCCAGGCCGCCGGTTCTCTTTGGCCGGACGCCGGTTGCCGGGGCTGCGCTGCAGCCGGGCGGGGCTCGGCGCGCCGGCCGCCGGGCGGCGCTGTGGTCGCGGCCGCTGCACGGCGCCACGCTGCAGCAGGCGGCTCATGTACCGCGACTGCGGACTGTAGTCGATGGTGGCCGGCGACGGCCGCTTCGCGCTGCCGGGACGCCGGGCGCCAACACGCACCGGCGGGGTCGCCGACCGCCGCGAGGCGGCGCGCCCCGCCGGCCTGCGCAGGGCGCCGCGACTAGGCAACGTTGCCCGCGGCGCGGTGCGCTCGACGTACAAGCGCGGCGACTGGCGCGTCTGTGAGGAGGACGAGCGGGCGCGCAGCAGCGCGCTCGGGTAGGTGACGCGCGGCAGGTCACGGCGCGCCTGCCAGGCCACCGGATCGGGTGCGCCCCCGACGCCCAGCTCTCCGGCCCGGTTGCGCGTCTCCACCCAGGTGACGCCGCACGGCGCGGACGGCGAGCCGTGCGGCGGGCGGGACGCCGGGCAACGCGGCGCGCGGCGCGCCGGCCCGCTCCGGCGTGTGGAACAGCGCCGACGAGTTGGCGCTGCACCGGCCTGGGCTGCCGGCCGCCGCGCGCGGCCTGCCCGGAGACGTTGAGCGCGAGCGGAGACACCAGTTGCGTGCGCGTTGACGTGAACTCGGGGGAGGCGAAGTGGGGTGAGACGCGCCGCAGGTGGTCCAGCTGGTTGCGCATTTGGTTCAGGCGTGCCTCGTGTGAGGCCGATCGGCTGAGGCGCGGCGGTGGCGCGCAGGGGGCAGCCCGGGGGCCGCTCGACGCCGGCGACGGCGACCGGCCGCTGCCGGTGGCCGCTGACGTGGCCGAGGTGGTCTTAGGGTAGCGCGTGCGGGTCGAGGCAGGGGAGATACCCGACGACCGCTGGCCTTTTGATGATGTCTGTGGTGCTCTGGACGACAGGGAGGCGGACTTCTTTGATGCACAGCTTCTGGAAGATATCGGAGAGCTCTTTCGCTTGTTGGAAGCAGATGAAGATGACGCTCCTACTCCGCTCTTCTTTTGTGCGTTTGATGACGAAGATGAGGCTTTGCGACTGCTGGCTACCGATGGCACTTGTGATCTTGTAGATTTTTGTGTTTGCCCCAATGATGATGCCTTTGATGTAGTGCTTTTGGCATAATTTCTTTTGGGGAGAGCAACTACATCTGCTTTCTTTGCAACTGTAGTTGTTTTGGCTCCAGCAGAAAGTAAGCTCCTGGTTTTTGATGCTGATGATGTAGTAGGCCTGGTAAACCCTGCACTTTGTAAAGCGCCTGCACCAGTTTGGTGCCTTTGTTTGACGTTGACATAATGTAGCTGACTTTGATCTAGTGCCATCAGCAGGAACACATTTTGGTGGCAGCTTCCTGGCTGCTCTCTGCACTGGTGGACTCTCGCTGGGACGAATCACCGCTGTGACCACTTGAGGTTGCCTTTCCACACCCATCTGAAAGCATGATATGTATTTTCAGTGTCAATACAGAACCATATTCAGACACATACTTTCTCTCTAAACAGTGCTAATATAAGACCTTGAAATACTTCAAGGTGTTATGAAATTGATGAGTAGCTTGAGCATACCTTTAAATTACTTCTTAAACTAATGGCCACCACAGCAAAATCACTTAATTGTGTTTCTACAAGCCAAGGCAACAATGAGTAGGCAAATATATTTAAACGCCATCAACTAGTTTGACAAGCAAGCATCCACAATGCTGCAAGCTTCTTGAAAACTGTTCAGGTAGCAAAGGCAGTTGTTCAAAATTTAACAAGCTTGGTATGGGTGTAACACCCAATCACTTTTGGGGAATGCATGATATTCAATAGCTGGTTATACCAAATAATTCAATTTCAATTTCAAAAGTTCAACACATTTTGTTATGGACTTTTAGTCTGGTAAGTTGACCAGCAGCCGGACATTCTCGCCTCAACTGCCCTTTTAACTTCCACCTGGACCTGGATAAGTCATAATAATGCATTATTTGACATTCTAGCTGATTTTGGTCCACCAATCAAGCCACAGACTACAAAAATGCACAATATGTGGAACATGTCTGACAAAGCCATGTTGCTCCAGAATTTTGATGTGATGTGACCAATGTGACCTTTTGAAACCAGGCATGCATTCCTGCACATGCAAGCTTCAATCCCTGAGTGCTCAGAGTGAAGTGTATGGTTGCCACTCACTTCAGTGCATACAGAACCAAAGCATCAGGAAAATATGAGGCTGCAGAGGTAATCACAATTATGCCAAAAAAATTATTAACAAGCATTTAAAAACTAAGCACAAAGTGGCCAGGTCTAAATTTGCACACATGAGCACGACGTTCAGCACATTGATATCATGCAGGTGCATGCGGCATCAGACAATATTTTGCGGACTGAGCCCCATCCACTCTGCTCCATCCCCCCACCTGCCTCGTTTCTCCCTGACCCAAACGGCTGTCCTCGTATAACAAATAAAAGCAAGTTCAGGATATTGCGCTAATAAAATTCATAGTCCATCGTAGAAGTTTCTTGAAATGGTAACTATCTCGCCGTTAACAAAATATTCCATTTGCCGCCTCAAACGCGCTACTCTAAGCATATAGTACGACATGTATTTTGATTTGTCCCGCGTCGTTATCGTAGAAAGGTGTAGCTTGTGTTTATGTTTTCAAACTCAGGAAGGCCAGAATAAAATGCGATGAAAATGATGATTGTGATGAAGACGTCAAACCTATGTTTTTTATCCTTAAAGTGTTTGTTTGAAAACTATGTATTTTACAGGATCTGACAAACACTAGTATCCTTCATAAATAAAGGAAAACATAGATGGCAGTAAAATCGATATAATTTCGGGCGCAAACAGCTGGCCATCGGCCTTGTGTCGTGTCGCGCCTGGGAAGGGGCCGCCGACATCTTTCGTGGTCATATTTGTGGTTGTTATTATTTGTTATTCGTTTACGTTTGGAGGCGTCCCTTTGAGGTATTTAGAAAGGGATACAAATTGCCGTTCAGTACATAGCAGCATTCGTGGTCATCTTCATATTTTTGGAAGTGCAAGTTGTTTCACGTTCCTATCGCGATTCATGGTGTCGTGGTGCATTTCACATCTCATAAGAGCGTACATCAACTCAACCGAGCTCACAATCCTGTCGTGGGAGTGAAGACGAGAGCAAGTTCTGTGCCTGATTTGTAGGCTTGTTATTGTGTCAAGAATCTTAAAGGAGCTGATGTATTCCAAGGACTTCCAATTGTCTACACATTGTCTCTAGTGCCACATTGATCTCAGTTTTACCCAGCTTGTGTGTGGACGTTTTGCAATAGCGAGAAGTTAAGTTTCAGTGAAACAAGAGTGAATATACAGTCTCCTGTTGCATTTTGTGAACTGTCTTTGAATTGTCTCAACTTGAACATAAAGCATTGGGATTGAACTCCACTGTGATCAGAAGATGGCTAGTGATGTTGAAATGCTGGCTAACAAGAATGGTAATGGCATATCAGCCAAGCAACAAGGTGAGGCTTTTTTTTTTGCTAATATTAAGCATGAAAACTTCCTCCTGGCACTCACTTGTGAATTTCAAACATTGAACTAAATACTGGTGACATTTTCACAGGTCCTGTGCTTTTCACCCTTCTGATTCTATATTTTTGGCAGAGATTAATGGTATCAGCTGGAAATATTGGTTGTCATCAAATAGGTGTCCATTGCATCATGCATATATATATATATATAGGACAGCTTGCTACCCTATTTTTGGCATGCTTTACAATGCATTTTATTACACAAAATGATGGACATATGGAATGTAGCTATGTGTTCAGGAAAAGTATGATTTTCAGTCACTTATCAGGTATTTGTTATTCAACTGGAATGGACAGCAAGTATTAAAAAGGACACACAAACAATTTAAATAACAAACTTGCCAGAATGTTCCATTTTGTATTTATGTAGTCTGTAGGAATTATATGAATATTTATGCAATTTGGATAGATTTAATCATATTTTATGTATTTTTCTTTAAGCTTGCCATTGCTGCAAAATAAGGCTATTCAAGGTGTGTAAATGGAGGTAACTGACTTAGTGAGAGAAATGACCTTGAATTGTTTTCTGCTAAGGACTGACAAGTTCTATGACATCTATAATTTTTATGTTTTGAGTGCTAATCAAGGAGACATGATACCATCAGGTCGTGTGTGACTGAAATTATCTGGCAGTGCATAACTATGTACCCAGGATGGCATTCAAGCTTTCCAATCTTTGTGCTTATTTATTGTTTAGCTTGTCACCTCAAGACTGGTTGGCTCTTATTTGCCATTTAAATCATATACTCCATGCAAAGGACCAGCCAATATCCTGCATCAGAGCTTTAATGTTCCTGAAGTTTTTTGTTAGCCTATGATAACCCTTACCAGTGATAACACATGTTATAGTTGTCTTGAGCATTTGGAACCATAGAACTGTTTTAGATAATAGCATTTTGAAGCCATTTCAGCAATACAAATTAAGCATAATGTTGTTTGTGAAGTGGTTTAATTTCTCAGGTTGTCTAATGTGGACATCTTGTGGTTTGAGTTGCATGTTGAAGATATTTAGTGCTGAGAGTTTTCTGGTTATAGCTTTAGTTGTGAATTAATAGTGTGTGAAATTTAACCACAAGAGAAATGTTTTAGGTTCATAACACCACTAGTATCTGGTTGTGTAGAACTTTTTTAACTGAAGCACCGCATTGTTTGCACTGGTGAATTGTTGATGCCATAGACATAGGGTTCAGGGTCTGTGGTGTTAACAATATACAGGATTTAGGATTTTGGGGGCTGGTAAATTGGGCATGCACTGATAAGACAACCATTAATAATTTTAGAACACATTTAACAGTATGCTGCTATCAGGATCCCCAGGAGAACTGCAGCATTGCCAAAGCAGTTTTAATTTTTGCCCATCAATTGTGTTCAAGAACAAAATTTTGCTATGCAATTCAGTCCAGTTAATGTGAGCTGATGATGCCAAGGGCAAGTCAGCAGGCTCCATGTGCCTGATGCTGTTGAGACATGAGGTAAACTGATGGGTTTTGGTGTTGGGATCAGACTGGTTTTAATGTATATGCATATTCAGTACATGAATATATAATATATTGCCCTTGAATGTACAGAAGATATTATTGACCCCTTTTATCACTATCCTATATTCTAACTCAATCCTGGGAATGTCACTTTCACATGCCTCTGCAAATTTTCACTGGGGGAAAATAGGTATTGTCATTTGTACTGTTGTTCTGTTCCAGTAAATGTGGCAAAGCCAGCCAAGGATAAACCAGGCGAAGGAAATGCATCCAAGAATTTGATAGGGTACAGCAGGGAAAGGCTCCTGGAGCTGAAAATTGCTCCTCTGTCTCGCAAGAAACCGAAATGTTTCACGGAGGATGCAGGACTCGCCAGGTAAGCTCGGGCACGCGTGGGTGTCGGTGCGCCATGCGTCCGGCGCACGTGACGCCACTCAGGTGGTGGTCCACGCCTTCGCTGCGGCTGTTTGGCGTCACGTCGATGTGATGCCAGCGTGAACACGTGTCCGCCCCTCCCCGTGGTCGCGTGCCGACCCGCCTGGCATTCCGTGGTGCGTCGGTGCGCTGGAGGCGGTCCGACCCTCCGGCGCCGGCCCGTCCTGGAGCACCGCCGCCGATCCGGCCGGGTCGGGGTCGCGCTGGTCACGCCGCGCCCTCTGGGCCGCGTCTCGAGTCGTCTAGAGGCCGTGCATGGAGAGGGGTCAGACTTTTAAGTAGAGTCTTACATTGGGGGGGGTCGGACCTTCGAGCGATGTCGGACCTTCGAGCGGAGTCGGACCTTCGAGCGATGTCGGACCTTCGAGCGGAGTTAGACCTTGGAGCGGGGTCGGACCTTCGAGCGATGTCGGACCCTCGAGCGGAGTCAGACCTTGGGGCGGGGCGGGGTGGTCTTCGAGCGGGTGTCGGACCGTGGAGCGGAGTCAGACCCTGGAGGGGTGTCGGACCTCCACTCACAAGTGCTCTGGTAGTCGCATCAGACGATAAGAGGACCGTGTGCATGTGCTGAAACTGGCTTTAGCTTGTTTTCTTTCAGGAGTTCAAAGCGAACGAACTTTGGGATAAACCAACGTGGTCGCCTAAGTTACGGTAGCTTGTGTATTTGTTTGCATTTTTTCAATTTCAGTGTTTTTCAAGTTAACTCGACACCACTACACGATAGTTCTACCGATAACTTATTCCTGGTATGGGCGTTGCATGACCTAAAGCAGTCGATGCGCCCTAAAACCCGAAATCATCATCATCGTCATTCCTGGTAGCAAATTTCGAACAAGTCAGTTCCAAAATGATGTTTCATATTTTTGGTCGCCACCAGCCACTTTATCCTTCCGGCCAAACAACGAGGTGTGTCTCGTACGGGATTTTTCCGTCTCTCTGCCATAACACAATTTGCATACTTATTATGCTATTGTTCAGGTTTTACAACGCGTTGCACATCGAGGGTCAGTTCGCGTCGATGTCTCTTGCGCCGCTTTCCGGGGGGACAGCGCGACTCTTGATCGGAGTGTGGCTCACAACGCATGACTTTTTCCGCGGGGGACAGCACAGCTCTTGGTCGGAGTTTGGCTCGCAACGCATGACTTTCCGCGGGGACAGCGCAGCTCTTGGCCTGACTTGACTCGCACCGCGCGACTTTCCGCGGGGGACAGCGCAGCTCTTTGCCTGACTTGACTCGCACTGCACGACTTTCTGCGGGGGACAGCGCAGCTCTCGGCCTGACTTGGCTCGCAACCGCATGACTTTCCGCGGGGACAGCGCAGCTCTTGGCCTGACTTGGCTCGTAACCGCATGACTTTTCGCTCGCGGTCGCGAGGCGAATATCCTCCCAACTGAGCTGCGCCATGCCCAGTTCTATGACTATGGCCTCATCCAAGGTACACTTGCGGCTCACTGCGGCGGTGCTTGAAGCTACATGGTTGTGCCGGCAAGCCACGCTTCGGTCGAATGCTCACTACCGCGGGCTGTCGTTACACGCTAGAACGACCCTAGGAGAACGACAGAAATATGAAACGGTCGCCTCTGCGCTCGTCTCCCAACAGCAGATGATCAGACCGTGAGGCGACCGCGCTGCCAATTACGGTCGCCCGCCGTCGATCCTCGCCTGACCCGCGACCAACCCCGTAGCTGCCCACGTAGTCTGCGTCGCAGAGTC